CCCCAAAACCCCAAAACCCCAAAACCCCAAAACCCCTTGCATTTCAGACTTTATTAAATAAAAATGTTCGATATAGCAGATGACTATGCAGATGAAGCAACCCAGACACCTCCGTTCTCAGCAAAGGTAAGACCTGAGGATAAGTTTTAGGCAACTCTAGGGTTCTTTCTACCAACGATCAACAGAATCAACAAGTAGACTTCTCTTTATGAATCCTATAGGTACATTCCAATTATCAAAAAGCTGCAGAAAACTCTTCAAAATCACAACACAGATATTCTGGAGCTTAAATTACGAAACTCTGATTTTGTATCAAGCTCCCTTTTCCAAGTGAGGTGTGACCAGATAGAAAAGAGTGTTGATAGAATCTCATATCTCCAGAAAGAGGTTAATTCCTCACAAGGAGCACTTCAGAATGAGAACCATGGTGATGTAGGCTTAAAAGGTAAATTTCAGTATTTTCACATCTGAAATATGATGGAAAAACCTCCTGATCATCTCTCGACTTACCACGGATTCTTTAGAAACCTATGTCACTCAGCGCCAGTTCAAGCAACTTGTGGAAAAGGTCAAGGATCTCGAGAAAGAGTCACAAGAAAAATGGAATAGAGATTATAAGCAGGAAATTATGAATTTACAAAGAAATTTTAGTAACTTTTAATCGTTATTAATCTCAGCTCAACTTAAGAAGAACTTTTCAGCACAACTCAAGTCATCCGAGCAATCTATGAAGGAACTCCAATCTAAGGTAATTCTCATGGAAGCACAAAATAAGGTGGGTCAATACTCTTATCTTCAGTCCATAGAGGAGAAATGTGAACAACTTGATACCAGGATAGATTCACAGAAAGTAATCACTCCAAAAGCAACCTCAGTTAATCTAGACGAGGAAAGATTGCAAGAGACAAATGAAAGGATCGATCTTCTCCAAAAGATGATTTCAACACCTGATGAGATTGACAAAAGGGTTAACGCCATTATCAACAGGCTTGGCTTGATTGGTGACAGTGATATGAACAGTCAGAATGAAATAGGTGCTTCCTCACCTTCTAAATCCCCTAGACAGCCCTCACTAAAGAAATTATCTCAAAGAGTAGACCAACTTGAGCTGAGCACTTTGCAAAAGGTTCAAGTAGAGACTCCGAAGCCTAAAACTAAGCCCTCGAAAGACACTCAGACTTTCTTTGAGAGGAACAAGATTCAGGATAGGGTCAAGAAGTTAGAGAAGCTCCTCCAAGGTATTTAATGCATGTTTAACACTTTGTGTATAGTCTACAGCCATGATATCGATCTTCTTAAAGCAAGCAAAATGGCTAAAATGGACGAGCTCATGAATACTATGCATGATTATAGAAATACCAAGCTTAGCCTTGAGTCCAAGATCAGCTCTCTTGTGTCCCAGCTTGACAAGGCCACCTCTCGCTTAACAGACTCTATCGACTCAGTAAAATCCCATGTCGACAGGACGACCCAAAACTTCATCCAAGAATTCAACAACCTCAAGCATGAAAACGAGGGAATATTGCGTGAATTCAAAAGAGTAATGGAAGAATACCGCACACTGGTCCAAAAAGTTGAAATCTCTAATAACTTCCCTTTCACTGGTGAGCGTACATCTCGGAATGCGACTTCTAAATCCTTGAACAAAATTACCCTCAGAAGTAACGTAATGGGTATGTCCCAAAAGAGTGGGAAGAGGCATAAGTATCGGCAGACTGAGTTCATGGACCCTTTCCAAGGTATTTTAGTAACCTTACTTCCAGAGTGTGAGACTACCAAGGAACGGTATAATAAGTCTACAGATTATCGCACGTATTTCAACTCAAAAACTCTAGGTAAGGTTCTGTGGTGATGGTAGATAAGCAAGCTAATTTGTTTGGGGAGTCTCCGAAGAAGACTAATAGTTCATGGATGAACAAGACTGCTGACCAAGGTATGTAACATAATCTTCAAGCACTAGAAATTAATCATTCTACAATTGTAATTTTCTTTAACCTCATTCACAGATTCTCAAATCAATGCTTTTAAGAAGAAATCTCTCAGAAAACTCCAAAGTAAGTACAATGCAATAAGTTCAGCTAAAATCCCTCAATGGAACATGAAAGTGGCATCATCCAGAAGAACAGAGAAAAGTGGGAGCTCAAGATTGTACACAGCTGAATAAGAAAAAAGATAAAAGATTGTTTGAAACTTTAAGAAATTTCAATAAAACATTTTGTGCTGGGGTTTTGGGGTTTTGGGGTTTTGGGGTTTTGGGG